AACCTACTAGCGATGGCCCCCAACCTAAGAGCGATGGCTCCAACCTACTAGCGATGGCCTCCAACCAAAGAGCGATGGCCCCCAACCTAAGAGCAATGGCTCCAAGCTTTATAGCGATGGCCTCCAACCTACTCCAACTTATATACTAGCGATGGCCATCCAACGTAGTAGCGAATATATGAGGGTAGGTAGCGAAAGACATCCAAGAGTTTTGATAGAACATATGAGTTGTTGGCAAATATTATTGTTTCCTCTTTCCAAGCGCACTCTTGTTGGGGATAGAGTAGCACGAGTTTCACTTCCTGAAGAAAAAGGAATCCACACAATTTGAATCACAGTAAAGGTAGTTTCATGCATTTTCGAGGGGTTGGAGGCCATCGCTATTGGGTTGGGGGCTATCATTATTAGGTTGGAGGCCATTGCTAGGTTGGAGCAGCAGGCTGCAGGTAGTGGTTTATAGTAAAAAGATAGACACAGGCAACTAGGGCGGATCGGCAAGGAAGCTCTCGAAAGCACGGTAAGATCCTCCTGGGTCATGGCGAGAGATCTCTCTCATCTATTCACAGCCCTTCCGCTGGGCCATGGTGAAAGTCTCCCGGTCCAATCCAGCCCATCTTCTGCTATCTTCGCTCCAGCCTTGGCACTCTCGCTCTTCTTCTTCACGTGGATGGCCTGGTCTATGAAAGAGAACAAGCTGTGGCCAGTCTTCGCTCCAATGGACCGTGAAAGCGAACAGCTTCCAGTTGGTAAAAGGAAAGCCATGTTCTGGAATCCCCCTCTGCCGACCAGTTGGTCACAGTTGGGTGATTTGCATAGTTTAAAGATGTTTAAAGTAGACTGGCTGACTGATCACAAAAAGAGCCACTCACCACATGAAACAGGAGGTTTAGACGTGGTCGGGGTGCTCAATGGAGGGAACCAACCGATCCACTCACTGGATGGGACTGAACATTACTCCTTTTGTGACCCCAAAGTCATGAACCTCGCTGCTCCAGAGCTCAGTCTGCGGACATCCCGAAGCCAGCGAAGGATGAACGACCTCCAAACCTGGAACCACGCCTCCAACCTAATAGTGATAGCCTCCAGAACGACATGGGCGGGACACGAACAAACACCGCGTCGGAAAAGAAACAACCAACATTTCCTTGGGATGCAAATCACAAAGAAAGGAGCCTATCAGGCACACTTCATTCGCAAGGACTCTAAATGTTTGACCGCCCAAACTTTAGCCCTGGCATCCCTTTTTGATCTTTTTTTGTGCGGAGAATGTCCACTACAGGCGCAAACAGCCTATGCGCATCTGCGGTGGCCTAACTACTGAGCCACTAAAGCCAGCTCAGCCTGTTGCAGGCCTTGAACTCGAGATGTTGAGCTCAGCACCAGAAACTGATTTTGTTTGTCTCTGAACATATAATGAGTTATGGTTTTGAGTTTAACGATAGAATCAATATGAATCAATGAATAGATTCTCTATGTTTCTCTGAAGTTTCTCTTTGGATCTCTTTGGCAGAATGCGGTCTCAACCTCAGAACAAAAACAGAAACACATCCCATTCCTGCAGGGTTTTGTTGCCGGGTGCCCTCCGAAGAGACCTCATATCCGGGTGTGGAAATCCACCAAAACAGCTCGCCCACCCAATACGCTCATCATCTCGACCGCCCAAGTAAAGCTCGTGCCGGGTAGGATTGGCTGAAACAACTGTTGGAATTCCTCACTGTTCAAGCCAACAATTTGGCTAAGACTGCTCAAATAATTTGTTCCAAAAGTGCTGGAAGCGAATGATTGTATAATTGCAGCCCAGGTCACTCAGCTGTGACATAGACATAGAACCCCAAAAACACTGTCACCACCCACTCGGGCCTGCCGACTTACACCAGGGTCCAACTGGAGGAATCCTGCCCTGGAGATGAAATGTACCCATGTGGTGGGCCGAATTGCTGCCTTTTTCGGATTCTCCTTTAAAGGTCGGGCCAACTATGGTCAATTTCATCCCGACGGGCAGCTGAATGATTTGCCCTCAAGACCTCATCGACCATCGCTCTCAGGTTAGCGGCCATCGCTACTACCTAGGGTGTTGGAGGCCATCGCCAGGGTGGAGGCCATTGGCGCTTCACAGGGCACGATGCGCCCGAACCCCAATCCACTCGCTTCAGCCAATCCCCACTCGAGGCGAAATACCCTGGCGCGTCGTTGAAAAACATCCCAGTTGTTGGCGCTTGACGGTGATGTAAACACGACGTTTCGAGAGACATGTGAGCGTTGGCAGAGCGGCAGGGCGTGAGCGTTGGCGTTGGGGGGACACTCCAAAGGTCGACTCAAGCGAATCCGCGACGGCCCCCGGAAACATGCACATCCCCCTAAAAGCCTGACGGGATCTGACAGGAATGGTATATGTGCTTTGCGTGTTTATTGTTTTTTGTGTGAGTTAGAAGTGTTTTGTGTTCGCACATGCTCGCAGAAGGTTCTTTTTACTCATTTGAGGAGACCTCTCAGAGTGACCAGTTGCACGGATCAATCAGAATGCCCATCCATCTGCTCATCTCATGGCAATCCCTTCATCTCATGGGTGAAGGATGACAAGAGATGGCAATAGAAACTAGCTTGACTGGCTCTTTAAACGATGCAGTGTTCTTTGTACGATATCTCAAGCCAGCCAAACGACACCGTTTTGGGAGAAATCCTTGAACCATCCTAAAAGCTGATGGACACGGAACCTGAAAATAGCAAATTCGCACACAATCCAAGCACAAAATCGCTTTTCGGGGTCCAAGCTACCAATCCAAGGCTTTTGTGGCTACCGGTGCTAGGAAGGGCTTCCGGCCCAGGAAATGCAGGTTCTTGCCAAAGTAACTCCTTATCTTTGCATGTCATACACATGATAAAACATCTCCGCTTCCACACCCCACAAAACATCTCGCAGAAACTGCCGTTCTTTCCCAGTGATTGGATCTGCTGGGTGGAGGCCATCGCTATTAGGTGTCGTTTTTTTACTCTAATTAGACTTAATTCTAGTTAGTAAGGCCAGGCGTCCTTGCTCCTAGTAGCGATGCCCTTTGCTCCTAGTAGCTTCTTGTTTCTACTTTGTTCTTTTTGGAGGCCGACCATTCTTCCATGGCCTCCCTCGCCGAAGGTCCCTGGGATGACTCCTATGACGCTGGTCACTTGACCCTCTTGGAATCCCACTCGGCCTCTGCGAAAAAGCCCAAGGCAAACATCCGTTTTTGGATTCAGAAGGATTCAGAGAAAACATCAATGACCTTCGAGAAGGGGGGTTCCAAATGGTTCCAGGATGTTCCAGGGAACCCTTTCTACAGCTCAAGCTTTTGGTTGCGCTGTTCCGGTGTCTCACACGTCAGTCACAGAGCGTGCTGAGCACGAAGAGCTTGCCAAACACGAAAGCAGATGGCCATCGGGTTGGGTTCGTGTCAGTCCATCTAAGAACGCTCGCACCACTCGGACCGGTTGGAATTCACCGGTTATACCAAACCGGTCGCTGTCAGTCTATGACCGGTCTAAAGAAATCAAGAGGACGCCGACGCCAGGAAGTGTTGACTTTGATCGCTAGGGCCTGAAACTGACTGGTGTGACTCGTACGAAAAATGAGGGATGAGCTAGTTTTGACCTTCCCTTCCTCATTTCCTCACTAAGCCTGACTAAGCACCAGTAGTGACCAAGTAATTATACCCATGTGACATTCATCGTTTTCGCGAAAACCACATCTTGGAGCTCGCCACCAAGCACCAGCGACGAGCCCGGCGCGTCGCGACGAGCCACGGGTGAGGTGAATCGGACTGGGACTCGCCATCCCATTCTGAAGGGGGTGGGAGTTTTCACGGGAAATGACAGTTTTCACTTCAAACGCTGAAGATCCACAGTTACGCTGTGGACGATGAAAGGCGACATCGATGGTGAAAGAGGGTTGAAACAGCACTGTGAAGGAGGGGTCCAAGTTGGCAAGTTCAGCCCTCCTGGTGCAAATGGTGTTTATCTTGCCCTCCAGTGTCGATCTCATCGAGATCATGATACACATCTAGAACGAGATAGACCAATTCGATTGGATCTTTGGACTTGGTATCCATAGAACCGACAAGAAAACAAGTTTGGAATGATCTTGAACGAATATTTCACATATTTTCTTCAATTCGTCAAATCTCTTTTGCTCCAAGCCATTGTTTGGGAAAATTCTAGTTCTTCTGTTTCACATTGGACCGTGCGCAACGCTCTGGACTGACCACCTTCGGCATACAACAAGGGCAATGGCCCCTGTCATCGACAAATTTTCGTATAAACCTTCCAGCTGAGTGTAGCTGATCAGCATGCCTGGCTGATGAATCAGCTCCCCTGCACCATCTCAAACAACAGGCTTGATGTTTGAAAGCGCTACCTGTGGCGCTTTAGATTCAAAGGGTGTGCAGGGTTTCCAGTGCCAGTCGCAGATGGCCCGAACCTATGTGCCGTTCGGCCCAGCCCAGGAGGTCCTTTCTTTTACGGAGCCTAAACGGACCTGGCGACCGGATGTACGAAAGGTCGACTCCTTCTGACTCAAAGGGTCGATACCAAAACCCGATAGCTGCAACAAGTTGGAACAATCCCTGCCCTTCTGGACGATCTGTCTTCCGGTCGGGGCTACCATCGCGGGGCTTCCATCTCCAAAGGGTGAAGAACACCTGAAAGGCCCACGACACTCCAACAAACACATGAAAGGCATACCCATATAATTGACATGTATTGACCCACATTGGGTTGGTTTCAGGGGTCAATGTAGACTTATTTCAGTCCGGAGTGTCTGGCCTTCGTGCAGTCCAAGGTCGGAGTCCACCTCTGTCAGACCAGGATTGTGATCGACCCTGCGGGAACTTGGCCTACTACTGTAGCGTTGTCCTCCAACCCACTAGCAGTGGCCTCCAACCTAATATCGATGGCCTCCAACCCAATAGCAATGGGTAGCCACGGCCTTCAACCTGCAATGGCCTCCAACCTAGTAGCCATGGCCTCCAATCTACTAGCGATATGGCTTCCCTCCTCGTAGCGATGGCCTCCAACCTAATAGCGTCCCTGAGCTTTCTCAAGCCGTTGGGCAAAAGAAAGGTTCTTCATACGTGTTCCATGCCTTCCTTACATCCCTCAGTTTTGCGTGAACACCCAGACTCCAAATCCTTTCTCGTTCGGCTAATCCGTTCTGCACCAGGACCTGACCGTGGTACCGAGGATGCTCGAGACGTTTGCGGAAGGCATTCGGAAGGATTCCGCCGATCGTCCGTTGGTGTGCAAATGTTGGCAAGTCTCTCATCTACTGTGTTTGTCGTCTCTGAGGATCTATATTCTTTGTGGTCTCTCAGGATGCAGTGGAAGATTCAAGAGAAAGCTCAAGGACCACGAGAACGTGCCGATTATGATAAAACCATGGTCCTTGCTTTGGGATATGCTTGTTCATATTTATCTATAACAACCTGGCCTCAGCGAATTTAAATCGGGCCATATTTTCACGGCGGGCGTCAGCTCATGCAGTTTGACCAACGAGACTCTGAGCCTTTGAGGTGGCGATGTGGGCAAAACACATCGCAGATGCGGAGATGAAACTACTTGGGGGCCATCGCTATTAGGTTGGAGGCCACTACTACCAGTAGAGGCCATTACTACTAGTAGCAAGAAGCTACTAGGTTGGAGGCCAT